GGACCTTCCGCAGATAGGCTGGGGCGGTTGTCGTTTTGCAATCACCTCAGGTGAACCAAGAAGTGATTTGAGGGAATGCGTTGAGTTATTTGGTCAGCGGTGCAGGAAGAAGCATCTTTTCGGTTAGTTTGTTACTATTTTCTTGGTGCTTTACATGCTGCTAGCTGTATAATAAAGGGTCTTTTTTCTTTTTTTTTTTAACAGCACTGTTAATTGCTATCCTCTGTTTTTGCAAAGTTTTAGCTCAAGAGCTTGATTTCCCTATTCTGTACTTCCCAGAGCTCTCTGACATTTCACTGGCATCCATTAATGCTACAGCAAGAACATCCTGAGTCCTTGGTCAGTTCTTTGGTGCTCTCTGAAATAGAAATGGCTTACTTGAGAACAGAAAGAAAAGGCTCGGGTCATTTCTGCATGTTCTGTGGAGTGGTAGAAAAAGCTGTGTATTGAAAGTACTCCAGCATGCTGCGAGGAGGAAAACAAACTGGATTTTCTCCTGTGTCCTTCGCATGCTCCTTTTCTTTTCAGAGTTCAGTATATCATACCTGTAGAAGAAGCTGTGCTAGTGCAGGAAGGATGGTCTTATGGATAAGATACTGATTTAAGCCTCAGGAGTTTGGGGCTCGATTAGTAATTCTGCTTACCAGCTTTATGTGTGAGTTGGGTATAAGTCACTTTGTGCTCATCTGTATCCCAGATTCCCCATTTGTAAAACAAGGCTATGGGTTTCAAAACCTTGCTAGGGGTAAGATCATACACCTGTTTGGATCCTCTGTGTAGCAGGGTGACTGAAGCATAATAAGCCCTCTTGATATCTAGCTGTATATTGCAGGTCAGTCTCTACGTGTATGAATATATAGTTTGATCAAAATTTTATTAGTTTCAAAAAGGATAAAATGTAACATGACCTTCCTTGATTTTCAGGCATGAAATATTTCTTGTGTTTGAAGCACAGGTCAACTTTTCGTAGTTCATTAGCTATTACCAGCTTTGCCAGGCTTCTGAGGAAAGCAGTCTTTGACAGCACATTTGCTCTAGGTGGAAACATGGTTGTGTCCCTGTAGAATGCTTGTTTCTGTTACATTATGTTGCTCTTTTCATACTGCCAATAATTAAACACAGCTTTTTTCCCCCCTATTGATCAGTTGCTGAAGTAAAAGAAACCTCTGTCCTCCCCATGCTAACTGTTGACATGGAAAACAAGGAAAATGGCTCTCTGGATGTCAAAAAGTAAGTGAATCCATAGTGTTCAGTTTATGTAAACAGCACATGGATTTTGATTGTAGTTTTCCTTTGACTTAATGCAGTTGGCAAGGGTGGGCACCTCCATCTTTGCTCACTTCAAACCTTCCCTGTTCTCAATTACTTTTATTGTATTTCAACTTCGAAATAGAAGAGTCTCGGGCACTGAATAGATTAAAAGTGATATGTGGGAGGACTGTATAGCAATGGAGAGATGCAAAAGCTAGTAACTTAAGTTAGGGGTATACCTTTCTCTGTTGATTTCTCCTCTCAACCTCTCCGTGCAAGTGGTAGCACTGTAACCAATACTCTACCTCTGCTTACCTGGCTGCTAGTGGCTTTTGCAGAACCGGTGCCTGATGGTGAGAAGTGTCCTGTGTGAAAGTCTCCTCTCTGCCTCTTTCAGCGAGACATACACTCTTCTCTGCTGACTGCCCAGCCATCTAGAGCTGAGAAGTAGTAGCAGCAGCATGTGTCTTTGGTGTCAGTTCTCTTCTGGAACAGATATTTTAAGCAGTTTGCTTGAGAAGCCCTAAACTGCTGGGTTTTTACTTCAGACCTTGGGTGGGAATAAGACAGAGATATGGTGTGCACTGCTCTACAATTTTCTTTAGTGTGGTAGACTGCAGGCGAAGGGATAGGAAGTGTTTTGGAAGCATTTCCATATCCTTAAAGGTCAGCAACTCTTAGGTTAGAACTAGCAATTTTGAACGAAGTTATGATCTGAGAAGTGGAGTTCTGTGTGGAAAAATTTGGCCTTGCTGCTTTAGGGTTATAGAAGCTGTGCTGAGAAAGATATATACATATATAGATATATTTTAAAAAAAAAAAACCACGAAAAAAAAACCACAAAAAGAAAGGTCCTAGAGAGAGTTCTTAGTCTGTCCTCTCAAACTGCAACACTTCTGCAATGCCGCACCTCATTCTTCTTCAGATCTCTTTTCCATAAGAACAGTTTTCCAAGAAAACTTGACAATGCTTAGGCTCCCAGGCACTAGAGTAATATAAATAATAACAATGGTCACTTCAGGATGCTGCTAAAACACCTGATTATGACATAGCATCAAAAGATCTGATGGTAGCCATTAAAATCAGCATGCCCCCCCTTCACTTGAGACATTGGTTACACCACACCAACATAAAATGCTTTTCCCTGTTCAGCAGCTATGAATAGACTATACCATGTATGTGCCTCAGAAGCCACCTTCATTTGGCAGTCTTGCATCTACAATGAGGACTCTGTGGTGGGGGGCAGAAGGGAGGCAGTCAAAGCAAGGATAGTTTGCATTTAATCATTTTCCCCTGAGGCTTAAAGGGGGATAAAGGCTTGACTACTAATTGTGAAGGTGGCTTTTTAAAACTGATAGGGATTGTAATCAAACTGATCAGGAGCTGTGGTTTCTAAATGGAATGTATACAGTATGTATGTGCGCATATCTACAAAGAAAGTATTTGGGACTTTCTTGAAGTGGTTATAAATAGCTTGGATAAAATCTGTCTGTTCACAGCTATATCCTTTCAGGCCTTGCTGCTTCTGCCACATGATGGCAATAAAGGCACAGGGACAGTGGTGAAAAGCAGACAAGCCTAATCTTTATTCAGTATCAATGCATCTAGTATCTTGTTACAAAGCCTAAAATGCCAGTCCTCTTAAGATTTTACAGCATCCAGTATGTCTGGCATAAACCAGTGTATGGCTAAGCCATGGCTGTTATATATTCCCTTTTCTTATCTAAAGAATAGAGCCATGTGCAACAGCAGGGCAAGGAGGATACTGTTAATGTCTGGAAGCCAAATGAGCATCTGTGTAGGTAGATGGGTTAAAATCCAGCCAGCCTCCAACAGTCTGCCACATGCCTTTGAGTCTCCTGCAGCTGTAGCTGTGGAAATTGGCTCTATTTGAGGTCCCGCATGATGCTATTCTTTAAGGCAGGAACTTGCAATTATTTCCTGTGCTTAGTTAATGACTAAGGTAGAGCCCCTGAAATCATTGCAGCTGGGCCTGGACCAAGTTGTAGTTCCCTAGCGGTAAAAGAAGAGCTATGTGAAGAACTAATGCACCTGGGCTAAAATACAAAATTGTGAGGAGGAGGGTTTGGGACCATATTTAGTTTGTAATTAAAGTGTTTTGGGAAGTAAGCAAAACACTTTATACAGTTAGGAGGTATTTTTACAGATTGAATCTTTTATTTGCTGTTCAGGAAGAATTGAATTCAATATCTTTTAGGATTTATTATGGGGTTTTTTTTTTAAATACCGAGTTGTGGGGGTTTTGTTTGTTTATTTTTAATTTTAAGTAGAAGATGAGTCATTGAAAGTGATAGTCTATGTCTTAGGGAAAATGCAGAGGTTTAAATATAATTCTTCAAGTGCTGCTTTTACAGATATGTGTAGGTTTTGTGTGGTGCTTTTCACATTTTACTTCTTAAGCCTCAGAATGTGCACAACACCAAAAATCTTAATTGAAAGGCATTCTTGGAGTTAAAAAAAAAAAGTGCAGCTCTGATAAGGCCAGATAGTCTCATTTTCAGTTTTGCTGAGTGTTGCCTTTCTATGTAATCACAATCAGTGAAGCAATTCATGAAGTAAGTCATTACTTGATGAGCAAAAGTAAGAAACATTGGCCCTTTCTCATTGCTCTGAGATATGCGTATATTCCATGTGATAAGTGAAAGAAACTGCTTTTAGAAGGCCAAGTGCAGCATACAGTGTGATATCGACGTTGCAGTGTGAGTCTCTGGGGCCAGAATTTTGTTGTCATATTGACAGGTACATACCAAGAGTTAGGGGAGAAGCAAAAATCATTGTGCTCACGAGTCCTCCTTCCCAGCGCTCAGCTAGTTGTAGAAATGAGAATGTTGTAGAAATAGTGATGGGAGGCGGTAGATGTGATTCTGTTCGCTTTTCTTCATGGCTGGTTGGAAAAATGGTTGGCCCGTGATTCACTCATTTATTTTGCTGAAAGACGTACAAGTCTAGGCAAGACAGAGGTGGTGACAGTTGGAAAAGAAAAATTTGAAGGACAGAACAAAAATGTTGTCAGGAGAGTATAATCTGTGTTTCTTTTCCAGCTGGTGCTGTTGAAAATCAAAGTCCTGCCTTTAAGCTTCAGGACCTGAAATGGACAGGATTCTGACATCTGCCCTGATCTGTACATTTTCAATATTTCTTCATTAGCATTATGGTTAACCACGCAGAACAGTGGAAAATGTCTGGCCTGAACTTTGGGACTCCTAGTTGGAGAAACATGTTAAAGAAGTTCGTTCTTTTGATGTCTTGCTCTTCATCCTCCTAAATTGCTATAGGAAAGGCAATCAAGCTCACCGTGTGTCTTTTTTACCAAGAATTTGCAGGTACACAAAGGTTATCTGAGATAGGGTGATGGCAGGTTGAGGATAAGAAATGCAGGAGAAGAATAGTAATATGAATGATTGGTTTGTTTTGTTACTGTGGAAAGCAATTGCCTGAGGTCAGTCACAGAAGGAATTCATTCTGATTGTGTTTAACAGATCTTTTCTCAGATTCATAGTTATTTTAAAGATAAGATTTAAGTCCATAGATGTGTCCAAAGATGAGTCCAAAAACAATTTTGGGAAATTTTCTATATTGAGCAATTAGTGCAATCATTGGTGCCTTTCCTTTCTTTTTTTTTGGTTTTGCAAGGTAAAGATGGTTTCCAGTAGTTTCTACCCATGTTATAAGGAAGCACAGTCTCATCTGGGAAAAGAATAATCCACATACTGCAATTCTTTATAAGTACTCGGTAGCTGAAAACAACCTGCAGTCTTGAAAGACATGGATTTGGTACCTCAGTCATGGTAGTCTTTATTCTCCAACTGCAAAGGCAGCACACTTGCAGGAAAAGATCCTGACTGGTTGATTACCTTTGGCTGATGTGAAGATTCATATACTTTCTTCTTTTCTGAAGGGAGAGGTATCTCAGTTGTCCCCAGCATCAGGTCTTCAAAATGGAAAAGAACGGGAGTGACTGTTCTGTATCAGGACAGGGGGAGGTGTGTTGAAGGATACTTTTCCTGGAGGAACAAGGAAAGATGGGATGTACGTGGGGTGTGCACAAAGAAGCAGCAGACACTCTGCACACACTTAGTGATTACTTGTCTGGATTTGCACTTTGCAGTTCAGTAGAGAATGGGAGACCTCCGGATCCTGCTGACTGGGCTGTTATCGATGTTGTGAATTATTTCAGAACAGCTGGATTTGAAGAACAAGCCAATGCTTTTCAAGAACAGGTAAATCTGTTAGGAAACACGTTTTGACTGCCACCAGTTTCTCACATTGCACGTTTTTGCCATGGACCTGGTTATATGCTGTTAAATGGGAGTGAAAATCCCACATTAATGGGGGGATTTGAGTCTGTTATTGGGTGAAAATCCATGGGACTGTGATCTTTGAGTAATAATATTGTTCTACAAGGTGTTGATAATGGGTTGGAGTTTGTTTAAAACAGTCATCTGAAAGGTGAGGAATCTAAACAAATTTTGTGCTTGGACTCCCTATACAACTCAGTTTCACTATCTTGTTATTTAAAATGTGAATGGTATTTCCCTTCTTCGTTAGTGTATTGTGCAAATACACTCATGAATATTTATAAAATCCAGGGCTCCTAAGAAGCAAGTTGCTTTTGAAGACCTAGGGTGAAAAAGGGGCTGCTGTGTTGCATTGTACTTGGCAGTGCAAGTGAACAGGGAAAGGACAAGTTGGCAATAAAGGGGTAGAATCTTTTTAGTCACAGGAGCAGCACGTTTGTAGGACTCAGTCTGAGAAAAAGGTTGGGTCTTCATTTCTGGGCCTTGTAACTGCTGATGTTAATGATGTATGGCTCTTTTGGTAGTTTTGATCAGCAAAGAGCTTAACAGTCATACAGCCCCTTGTAACTCGCCTATCAGCACACTGAGGTGTATTAGTGGGGAGGGATAGGAAAGTTGGCTTACTTGGGCTACAGCCCCCCTGTTCCATAGAGAAGGAACTTAGATCTCCAGATTGTCAGTTCAGCACATTCCCTGATAAGTCTATAGGTTTGCGTGTGACTACCAGGGTATTAGTTACCAACACTTGTATTTAGTATCAAAATAGATGTCATGACTTTCCAAGGCACTGAGGTAGTTATTGGAAGCTTTTCAGGAAAATTGTACATCTAATGTGAAATAACGTTACTGTTGGTTAGGTTAATCTTGCTGACCTTCAGCACCTGGACAATGAAATCCCATCTGATTGTAATTGATGAGTATAACAGAGTATCTAAATTTAGCTCTTTGTTCTTGGGGGTGAAAAGCCTGGTGGTTGGGTAATTCTCTGGCAGGGTGCAGAGAGAGGCTCTTTCTGCAGCTGCTACTAATTTTTCAGAATTTGAAGGTGGGTAAACAGGCAAAAAATTGTTTAAGTGTATCCATTCCTTAATACCAGCATCCATGTCTCCTCAACAGCCCTGGAAATGTGGCTTAAAAAAACACACCGGTAGTAATTGCAGCCTCTGGGGTTTTTTCCTTATACTGACAGATGCCTCTGACTTTCATCAAATATCTTAACCTCTCTGCACCTCAGCTGGCTTGTCAATAATACTGCAGTAATTACTACTGATCTTGCAGCAGCAAGGTGAGGCTAACTCATGAGTTTTGGCAAAGCAATTTGCAATAGCCTGATGGAAAGCAGCATAGAAGTAGAGTGTAAAAATTTTATTAGTATTCTGCTCGGAGGGCAAGTGGCTTCAGGAGGAAAGCTGAAGTAAGCTGCTTTTTAGCAATGTGTTGCCAGGGCTCTGCTAGGATAGCCATGGGCAGAAATGTGGCTGTGATTCTGCTGCCAACTTCACTCTGTGCCAAAGCCTTGGAGAGAGAGGCTGACAGCTGCCACCAAGGTACGGCCAGGAGATGTGGGACGGACACTCACAGCAGAAGTCATTGCCACTTCCTTCCCCCTCCATTCCCTTAGCAGCACGAGGAGCAGTAAGTGCCCTGGTTCTCCATGCTAGCTCTGCCAGCCCATTCCCTGTCTGCAGCAGGAACAGCCGCAGGAACAACCCTGTCCCTAACCTCTTACCAGTGGTGGTGGTCTGTTTCCTCTACATTGTTTACTAGCCACTAACTTTAACTCTGTGTACTTACGGTATTTGTTACCAGGATCTCCCAGGCCTTCCAGGTATGGCAGTGCCGTCAGGTTCACTTTGAACCCTTAGCCATCTTCTGTCTATGGAGTGACCAGGCGTGCAGCTGAAGACCTGGCCATCTCCATTTTTCTCTGCCATTTGTTATTGGGCAACATCTTTCAGTTGAATCTGCCATTTGTACTGCAGCTTGCCTGCAGCTTGCCTGGGCCCCAGAAACCTAGATTCATTTGATCTGCTGCTGCCCTGAATATGTACTGGAAGGGGAATGAGATTGTAAATGGTAAAGGAAAGTATTCCATTTCACCTACAACACTGGGAAATTGTTTTCCACTGAACTGCTTCAGCAGGGGTAGCACAATGGTTTCCTTACAAAACATCCATAGCCCAGAATGTAATCATGAGATGTATTATTACATTCAGCTTTTACACAACAGTAACTGAGTTCACACTTTCTTTTGATGAATCTGAATACCTCTGGATTCACCCAAAACAAGTGACTCAAAGAATTTTTAAGACCTGAATTTTTCTTACAACATTCTAAGGAAAATGAGAAGTCATTTTAAGGACTGCAAAATGTTTTATTAAAACTATATTGTAAGTGCTGGTAAGAAGTGATGATTGCATAATTATTATAAATTATTTCTTCTTGGAGTTCCACTGATGTCAGCGAGTCAAAAGAGCTCACTGATGAAAACAGATTCAACTGAAAGATGTTGCCCAATAACAAAAAAACATAACATCAGCAAGCAAATCAGACAAACCAAGAAGTTGGGGGCACAGGATAACTAAAGAGAGAGGCAGACCAGATGCAGGATGAGGGTGTGAACACCTTCAAAGAACTGCTGCCTGCCAGTACGTGGCTGAGCTTTCTCTAGGAGTGCTGGGAGCACAGGGGGCTGTGGCTCACTTGAAGACTGAAGCTGTTTGCCATGTCTCGAGACATGCTAGCGCTATGCCTGACCTTTGTTGTTGCCCATGTGGCTTCTTAACCATTAGTATTGCAATAGCCAGACAAGCCCAAGTAACCCAATGGTAGTTTGCTGGCCTCGTTGCAATGCCTTACCAGAAGGGAAACGGGTTTGATGCTAGCTTGTGTCCACTGCTGCTTTCTAGCAGAGCCATGGCATGGAGAAGCATGCGGGCATGCTGGCTGCCATGCTTTCGTGTTAGCTGTACTGTAAAACTTTGCAGTTCTCAGTCACTTGGAGAAAGAGCAGAAAGAGCGCTGCAAGGACTTGAAGCTTAACTGGTCCTCTGGTTATTTGCTGAAGACAATACGCTATTGCTGCTGAGGTCATCCTGGCACAGTGGGGAATTACTATTAGCTCTAGTTGTGCAGAGGGGTGCGTCTGCAGATGACATTAAAAAGGCATACCGAAAGCTGGCATTGAAATTGCATCCCGAAAAAAATCCAGAAAATAGAGAAGTAACAGAGAAGAAATTCAGAGAAGTCACCAAAGCATACAAAATCTTGCCTGGTGCCAAAAACCAGAATGACTATGATAAATCTACAGAAGCAGGTTTAAGTGGAAAACTAAAAAGAAGTGGAAGAGGTAGAGCTTACAATACACAGAAAGATATGAAACACTTGAATTCTGAATACATAATCACTCATTTCTACCCAGATATGTTTAGAGAATCAGTTTTCTATTCAATGAAAGCCTTAGTAGTTACCAACATTTCTAGAATCCATGGGGAACCCTGTGGAAGAAGAATGGAAAGGAATAGATGCTTTTTTCCTATTCTTGGAGTTTCTCCTGTTCCAGGTGCTGGATTTACTTCATTTGGATCCTACCAAGCTGGAGGCTGTTCTTCCTCCATTGTCGAACAGTAGCAGAAAAGGCAACTTCAGATCAGTCATAGCAATGAGCAGAATACTCACTGGTGTCAAAATTCCCACAGAAAGAATTGTGACAAATGGAAAAGAGAGAATAGAAACTCATTTTAACCATGAACATTCTCAACAGTAATTGGAAAGAGGCACCTGCTATAATTGGGTAAAAAGTTATTGGAAACCTTTTTCTTTTAGGAAATACTGTTACATTGCGCTCCTCTGAGGTATTGGGGACATTTTAAAGAAATTCCACTTTCAGCTGATCTTTGACTATGTTGTGGTTTGTACATGTATTTTCTATTTATAAACTTTGTCAAATCATAAGAGATCAGTCTGGACAAATTCATGCTGAACTTTAATACAAGTCTTCCTCTTTTCACGAGTTGTAATCAAGGGCGGGATCTCTGACATTTCCAAGACAACATTTAATATTTCTAAAGAAGATGCTGCAGTGGGATAAATCGATGTGTGATGTTTATAATATTTATAAAAATACAAAATTTTGGCACTATATTATTATGGACAACAACAATATATGCAAGCATTTGAACTGGTTGTTTGCTATTGATAACAAATTCAACATTTAATAGTGGGGTTTTTTTTACTAAAAGTAAGAAAGAATGCAACAGCAGAGTGAGGTCCAGTGCAGGAGAACGCCGAAAAGCTATATACTTGTTTGGGCTATGATGACCTTGGGAGGTCTGGCTGTGTTGTGAGACACCAGTTAATGCATTGTTGTGTAGGTGTAGCTCCTGTTTCCTGAGTAGTGTAGTGTGATTGAACTGTAGGAATGCATAAAGAAAAGGATGGTCCCATGTCTAAAACGAGTTGAGGGATGGGGATTCTTTCTTTTCCATTTTGACCTTTGAAAAATCATTTACAGGTAGTTTTCAAACATACAACAAGGTTTTGAGGTGGAAAAAAATCCCAAAGCCTGCAGGATGTCTAATTTAAATAGGTCAGAAAGCCAATGTTTGAGAGAAAAACCAAAACAATATCTGTGACTGAGGATTTTAAGCAGGAACAAGTAGAGGTTCTTGAGACCTAAGCTGGGAAGTTGCTGCTTTTAGCCTCTTCCGTTGTAAGTGGAGGAAGAGAAGTTCCCTCAGAGTGATGAGCTCCATAGTTAGGCCCTTCTAAAATTTCTGATTGCAGGAGTCTTCCCTACCCGCCCCGCAGGAAGCATGGGAAGGTTGGCCTTTTAAGGAAGGCGCCTGAAGTTATTAGCAGATACTGACTAGTCCAAACTTGCTTATTGCTGTCAATGGTTATTCTTCTGAAATGCACTTCATAAGCCTTCTTAAGAGTATCCTTCCCTTAATGGCTGATAATTAGGCAATCTGCACATGTACCTATTAATTTGAAACAGATTTACAAGGAGGGAGTTTTGAAATTAAGCTCATTTGGGTTTTGTGCTTGACTAAATAGTATTTATGCCTTAGTCAGCACAGGTGAGCACTTGAAAAGCAGACAGCAGAATTTAGCAGCTGTAAACATAGTTTCAGGAAAATAAAGGCTACTATTTCTTTTCTCATTGATCCTCTGTAGTAGTCTTCCATTTGTTGCATGACTGTTCTCATCTGTTAGATTTGTACATTTGTCTTTATCAACTCTTTAATTCTTCTTATAGGAAATTGATGGCAAATCATTACTGTTGATGACAAGAAATGATGTACTGACTGGACTTTCATTAAAACTGGGGCCTGCGCTGAAAATCTATGAATATCACGTAAAACCTCTACAGACACAACATCTAAAGAACAACTCTTTATAGCGAATTGTTTAATTGGGGTCATGTTGTGCCTCAACAATAAATAAGCAATTTGGTTTCATGTGATGGAACTTTGTAAAGAGAGAATTTATCTATTAAGAATTTAAACCAAATTACAATATATATCCTATTGGATAGAGTTGGCAATATACTATATACTGACTCTGAACTGAGAGAGGTGGTGTGTATTTTTTACATAGTACATAATGATTTTCTCTTTTAGGAATTGTCAATGAGCATGTTGAGATAGCTACATCACTGTATCAAGAACAAAAGGGAGGTATGTCATTCTCATTTTTGAGCCAGACATGTTCTTGATTTCATGAATTAAAATACCAAAAAAAAACCCCCAAATAAAGTTTACATGCATCTTTGGGAGAGAGAAACCAATTAAAGTAGGTTTTGGTTTACATTTAAGACCTACTAAAATTATTACTTATAATTTTAAGATGGGACTGACACTTGCCAACTCACCCTTTTTTGCAGAGGGTCCTATTTTGACCTTATTAAGGTTTACTCATGGTATGCTGCAATGTTTAAAGCTGTACATACAACTAACATAACCCCTTCGATAGCAGAAGGCGTTGCTGACAGGTGAAACTGGGTTGTGTATTTTTTTGCTGTCCTTCAAATTTTCAGCTTGTTTTCACCTGTTTTTAATAGTAGTTCTATGTAAGGTATAGTTGGTTTTAAAAAGTTTGTGTTGCTTTGCAAAACAAAAAAAACCTTCATTTTATTCCTTTTTTTAATTTATGATAACTTGTTTTCTAACATTATGCAGAAATTTGTAAAAAGAGTAAAATTCTGCACATTTTTATTATTGTCTGTTGTCGGTGTTGTAATGGTTGATTTTTTTTTTTTAATGCTTTACTTAACGGTTTGAATACCTGTTTTAAAAACTGAAAGAAGCTGTCTCGTCACCATACATCTCTGTTAAAAGAGAGTCTTGTTCAATCTGTTTGTACCAGTTCCCTATTTGATAGGTTGCTTGCTATATCCCAATAAAGCATTGCTTATGTTTGGATTTCAGTTTACTTTACAGATCTTTTACTTTCTCTGTTTCTTTGTTGTGGTATATTGGAGGTCCTGTTTTTCTCCATTTTCCCATTAAAAAGGTACCAAAACCTACTTAATATTCTATGTTCTTGTGATTACTTTTAATACCACCTACCAACATATTTAAAGATTTCATTATTTTTGCTTTTTCTTATCTAGTGTTAATGTACTGCTGAAGGAGAGAATTTGAAGCCCTGGTCACAGTTCACCAGTAACATCTGTGCTTCTCTTACCCCTTTCCAGAGCTGTCAGTGGTGCAGAGGCGCTGTGCTGGCCCTGGTACAGCAGGGTGATTTACTCCAGAACACCTGGGAGATAGCCCACAGATGGTGCTAAGCACTGTCTGGGCTCACCGTTGTCTTAGGCCCAGAGAACTTTGTGATTACCCCCGGAATTGGGTAAACCCCCCGTATGTGGGGTTGCATCAGTGAGGCTGAGCAAAGGAACTGGGAAGAAGGAAATAAGCAGGAGAGTGGGGTGAAAGAGGAGATGGTGTGGGAGGAAATGGTGAAGGGGTGCAACTGAGAAGGGAGAAGGTAAGAGAGAGTGGTGCTTTCTAGCTAGTGGGGACAGGACTCGGAGAGGAAGGAGAAGCTCCTGTGATCTCCTGCCTAGGTGGTGGCCCTGCCTTCACTTATGACTTGGCAGACTGCAAGGTGAGTGCGAGGTGGATGTTGATGCTACAGTGCTAGGAGAGTTGCTTATGATTTCTGGTGTTGAGATTTGAAAGGGGATAAAGCCACACTAATAGGTGTGCTGTAGGTAAAGCTCACAGTGTATGGTATAATACATAAACTCTACAGCAGCATGCTTTCTTGTGTACTTTCTAACCTTTACGTTGTACAATATATTTGTTTGGAATTCGAGACACATTATAGGAGACAGGGATGTATTCACCATTTCTCTTTCTGCACTTGTACTGTGCTCACTTCAGGTATCGGTCTGTTAGCAGCAGGTTTGTAAGTCACAGTCTGAATTCTGCTTATGATTTTATTTATAGTTTGGTAGCGTTCAGAGATACCTATTGGGAGTAGGGATCTTCTGGAAGACTAGATTCAAATAGAGAGCATCATCCCTCCCTTGGGGAGTTTTCAGGTACAGTCTGTATCAGGCTAATTACAGGCTGCAATTGAAAAATTATACATGAAACTCCTAAATATTTTAATATAAAATTAGGTATGTTTATGAAAAGGATTATGTGAAGCAGCTGCCTGTAGCAGTTCGGAGATGCCTACCAGCCCTGTATATGTAGAATTACTGTTGGAGTAGAATACATAGTGCTATGTTACTGAAGGATTAATTGAATATTCTCTTTTTCTCTATTTGCATGTTTGGTGTGGGATTGACACATTTTGTAGATTTATGGATGACACAGAATTAAAAGTAAAACATATTTATTCCATCAGGGAGTAAAAATCTCCACTCTACAGCCATGAGAGCTCATTTGGTGATTACTGAGCACTGTGCTTTCTTTTAACATGTTTTAATGAGCAAACGAATTGCATTCAGAAACATCCAGATTGTATTCCCCTTTTAGTCAGCACCGCTAACTGGTTCATGTAAGTAGAGGCCTAACAGAAAGCTCGCTGGAAGTGTGAAAGGGAATTTGGAGGATGTTACTCAGAACTGTAACAATTTCTTTTTACTGTCCCTGATCTTTATTGTAGTATCCTACTGTTCTCTGAGCTTTCTAATGCTGCTGTTCTCTTTGTGCAGGTGACCATTCTGGTTTTTGTCTGTTACATTCTCCTTGCTGTTTATGGGAGAACAAAAAATCTTTTTAAAAGAGACTGGAGGGTTTGAAAGAGGAAGTCAGAGCCAGCTTATTTTTAGCTACCATTCCTCTTGCAGAAAACACAGCTGCTGTTGAGATGAGGAAGCGACTGATGGGCATAACTGGATACCATGTCAATACTGCAGTTCTGAGAGTCTCAGAGCTATGCAGGAATCCAGTTTATAACATGCCCTTAATGTGCCTGCAGCTAGGAGAGTCCCTCTTCCTTAAAAGCCCTTCCTGTGCTTTGGGTGGCGGTTAAGCTGCCAGGTGTCCAGCTGCTCAGCTGATACCGGGTGTGAGAGTGACGATGGTCCCAGTGCTGCAGATCTCCTTGCTTTCACACTGAAACAGCAATTTAGAGAGTGGCCTCCTTCTCCTAGAGGCAGCTTTAAGGAGCAAAGCAGCAGTCAGCTGCTGAGCAGCACAAGAACAGAGAGACGTGCTGCAGCCAAGGTCCTCCTATTCGCTCTCCATCCTCTTCCCTGTCCCTGCTCTTACCCTTTTCATAATACCACTAGTGCACATCTATCAGAATCTTTTGTAGCACTTCTAAAAATTATTTGAAAGCATTACAGTATTCCTTTTTTGGTATGATGGTTGTGAAATATGTATTGGTGTTGTTCATCAGCTCTGATGTTCGCTCTCTCAAGCTGTAGATACACAATGCATAGCATGTTCTCTTTGCATCCAAATATAGTGCCAAGTACCACATACAAAGCACATATAAGGCAGCTGTTGGCAAAGTATGGAGGCTGTGGCTGTGCCTGTCCACCAAGGTCACTTTCTCAAACCAGAAAAAATTGTTCTGTCTGCTTGCTGATATCTCCCATCCCTGTGTGTTATTGTTCCCTTTAAAACAGTTTGCTCTAATGTGCTGCACTTTATCAATTTGTAGAAAGTTCTCTACTCTTAAAATTACAGGACAAGACTCAGCAGCTGTAGTGAAGGGAGTAGTCACCCATGCATCACTCCTGGTTAGAAATGGCCCAGGCAAAATGTCACATTAGGCCCTCGCTGTCAGTGATTATTTGCTAAATGAATTTTTCTCTCTTTTTACTGCTTTTTTCAACATGTTCAAATTCTACTAAGTCCTTTACCTCTTCCTGTTTTTAAAAATCAGCATTTAATTGGTCTGTTATCTTCAACACTCCTCTTTCCACTGTCACACTTAAGTTACAATCACAGTTATTTGAAAAGCAGAGGGTCTTAGTTTCTGTGAGTCTGGGGGAAGCTACAAATTTATTTCTCTTTTTTTTAATGGCAATATTGTCTGAAATTTGAAGGCCGAGTCTGAGCAGGACCAGAAAAACATCATCTCACTTTGTCTCTGTTCTGGTTCTTTTCTTCCAAGTCAGAACAGCAGTTCCCTTCCAGGAATGGGTTTTGGCCCAGAAGTCATGTGGGAAATTAATTGACTGTAAATGTGCATGTAAACAGTGTAACTGTCACTGGCTCAGGAGGCAGCAGGAGGGTCTGCTCTATTCTCTCATCTTTATCTCAGGAACAATTTACATAGGCAATGGATTGGCTTCTGCTTCATCTAACAGAGAACGAGAGGAATTGGTGCCTAGGGATGTCAGCCAGGAGAGCCCATCCATGTCCCATTCCACCACACCGAAGGCTTCCATGCCCCTTCACCTCTGCATTGCTCAGTTTTGACAGCAGCTTCCCCCGGGGGAGGTGCAGAGGGCAGTGGCTGTCATTAGCCCACTGGCAGCCTGCAAGGGCAGTCTCCATTGGAATAATGGGCAGACTGATTTAATAAGTAGCTTTCATTCCTGTTGGGAAAGGTTGTGTTCTTTTCAATATGATAATGTAACAAGGTCATTACATTCTTTTTTGCTTAGCCCCTATAATTAGGGAATTGTTTGATTTAGTGATGTTCCGTTGGATCCCAGATGTGTATTCAACTTACTCCCAGAATAACATTAGCTGGTAAATGCTGTAAATTTGGGGAATGCAACTGTAACTTCAAACACCTGGAGAGCCCAAGGGGAGAACCATGAAGACTGTAAGTGGCCCTTGGTCTCCATGTGAGAGTTTCATTGCTACTGAAGGCTGCTGGTGAGTAGTAGAGACCACTGTTGTATTTATATGCTGCACTCGTGAGCATCTTTGTTAAAGGAACAGTCAGCAGTTGTAACTGCTGTGTCATCAGCTGATCTGCTGATAAGGCAACAACAAATGTCTTGGCATTGGCAGGCTTGCATTCATCTAAAGATGTTGTCTTCCCCTTTTCAGATGATTGCTATAATCCAGCTACCCCTCTATACTCTGCAGTGCTTGCTATGTTGAGGATGCCCTTGACTTTGTAGCGGCTAAATTGTACCAAAAAAGGGAGGGAAAGCTCATCATTTGCACCGATCTCTGATTCAAGAGTAACATTGCTTTGTCTTGTACTGGTGAATTGCAGGACGAGGAAGCAAGTAAGGAGTAAGGAATTTGTAGCTGAGTTTGTTTCCCAGCTGGTGGCCAAACCATAGGGAGAAGCACGGAAGCAGGTGTGTGCCTGGGTGTAGCAACCCTGTTTCGCAAGGATACTCCTCTTCTACTCCCTCCTCGCTCTGTATAAATACCACATGCCAGTTTGCGTGGGCTTCTCTACCTGGAAATATGTGTAATCCAGAAGATTTGGAAACATTGCAGGAGTACAAGATCATCAAAACTTGAGCTCTTGTCTTTTCCAGTCAGATGTAGATGTTAATGTGGGAGTTCGTGCCTGATGCCGCTCTTGAGAGGTGGCAGAAGTCCTCCTCAGTACTCAGGCACTCTGGTTTCTGCTGTTACGTTTCCCTCTGCACCAAAGGTTTCTCTACCTCCTTCTTTTTCTAGTTTTGAGTCCCTCCAATATTGTTTGGTTTGGGTTTGTGTTTTCAGCTCTGAAGTAGCCAGATAGGAGAGATACTTGTCCTCACTGATTTTTTTTTTTTTATTTTCTGTTCTCTCCCTTCTTTGATTTTCTGGTATTTTTTATTATCGCTGTATTTCTCCCTCCTCTTCCCTCCCCCCATCTTTCCTGCTTATCTTCTAGTATCTCTTGCCTCTGTTACCTTATGTTCCCATTCCAGGCTGGCATCTCTGTGCACCTCCATTCATCAGGACCTGGGCTAAAAATGCCTGTCCCCACAGTGTTTACTTGCAGCAATACCTGACCTGCTATGGTCAGCTAACACGACTGAATGATTACCTTTGCTTCTGCCCCTCAGGTCCGTGAGGTACTCCTCCAGCTCTCTCTGGCAGGCAGCAATGGAGTGTGTGTTCCTTTCCTGATTCTCTCCACCGCTTGTTTTTTGTGAGCCTGGCAGAGGTGAACTGCTGTCCTGGTGTGGTTTGGGCTGGATCTTGAAGGGAACATGGCAGGCTTCAACTCAATGGAGCTGAGAGTTTGCAGGTCTGTAATAAAACTATGTAACAACTAACCTCAGCTCATGTTGTTTCTTATTTGATTGCCATAGATCAGTCGTACACCAGCCGATCTAGTAAGTGCCATTTATACATATATTTATGTATATAAAAATACACATATACATATGGGACCAGGTGTGTGTGCATGCACTCAGGTACATGTGTGTGTCTTCTTTCTCAGCCTGCTATGAATGGTAAGGTTCAATCTCAGAATCACAAAACAGTTTATATCCTAATTATAGCTGAGAAGTGAGTTGGCATTTTTGATCCTATAACTGGAGACATTTAATAGGTTTCCTTTCTAGATACAGCTGTGCGCTTTTGAGGAAGAAGATGGTTGGCTGTTGTATGTACACAAATAGCAGGATTCTAACTTCAAAAGTATTTATATTGAGATTTCTAGCCAGAAAGGGGTTTTTTTTGTTACTTTAAGTCAGCTCTGTTCAAATTAGAATCAGGGTTCTGTACTCCTGATAAAAGCAAGATCAAAAAAAAAAAAAAAAGAGAAAAAGGCAACTTTAAAGAAGAAAAAGTGTAGCTGTAATAGTAAATAAAACTTGACAGGTTTAAATGTGTGTTGGAAAGCAGGTAGCCTGAATATATATATAGAATAATACAGTCAGTGAAGACAGATCACTTGTACTGACCCTGAAGGTGACATTTCATCTCTGTTTTAGATACTGGCTAATGAGTTTAGCTAGTGCATTTTATCTGTGTGAGGTTGATTGCACGTGGAGCGTGATCAGCAGCTGAAGAGGATTGCAGTTGGACTGTCCTGGGCACCTATCAGAATGGAACAGAAACAGGATGTGAAAGAATCGGACGCTAAAATCATAGTAAGATGTTTGTGCACCTGAAATACCCTGTTTCTTGGTAGGAGGCTCCAGGCCCTATAAACTACTGGGATATAGCCCAGGACCAGCGAGGTCCATGTTATCAGCAAGATGATGTATTTTAAATGGCAATTTTACAGTCTGCTAGCTGCTGGTCATTTTCATCAAGTGTGATTTCATCAGCAAAGCATCACAGCTGCCTCTGAGTAAAACACAGTAAGCAACTTGAATAGTTCCTCAGTACAGGAACTGAAAAAAAAATCTGTCTCAATTAAAATAATGCAAGTCCATCGTGGAGACTGAATCTAATGAAGTCAATGGGAATTTGGTCAGGTTTCAGGCCCAAGTAAGTCTGGCTAAGTCCCATTTTCAGGAATGATTTATGCCATTGTTATCTGAATCTAATTGCCATATGGAAAATTTGGACTTCTTCCAATTGCCTAAGTACTTTCTTTAGAAGCAGTCTGCCCACGTAAGTGACTCGGGTTTGCAGTGCTGGATGGAGCTGTGCTGAGATGCCTTTAAAGACTTGCTGAATGACTGCGTGGAGGTTTCTAGAAACTTTATTGCATGAGTGTACATGTGTGCTTGTTGCCACAGGAAAGTTTAAATAAACAACTGGTTGCTGCTTTGTGTCCTCATTCTGCCGTGAAGGTTAGTCCACTACTACCTTACAAGCCCACAAATGAAGCGCAAGTAGTAACAATAGGAAACCTTCTGCCTAATGCAATGAATTTCTCATAAGGTAGAAAGGAAGTGGGTTGTGAAGATCTGCCTTGTTTAGAAAGAAGTAAATATTGAAATGTTCAGTAAGATCCTTTTTCATCTATTTTTAACAGTTGGTAGTGAACTGTCATTTGGAACAAGACTGGTAGCTTTTTGAGGTAAAATTGGCTGAGCTAAAACATATTTCTTTTACTTACAATGTTTGCACTTTTATATATAAGTAATAAATGGTTTAATTTCTTATTTGGTAAACAGTCAAATACACATTTGTTTTTTGATGTTGCTCTTTATTTGCCCTTAAAAGATACACTAATATATTACAAGCACCTAAAAATAGCAGAAATAGCAAGACATAAGCCCACAAGTACAATAGAACACAATCTAACAAGGTAAGAAAGAATGTCCCTGGCAAAAGCTAAAAGTGTTGTAAATAAAACTTTCAGAATTGGCTAGTGACCAGAGAACAGCATATCTGGGGCAGGCTGACTCTGTGGTATCATTTGTCCTGTTGTCTTTCAGGAGATATCTCAGGCTTGTGAACAGTGTCTTCCCTTTGCATCTGTTATGTCCTGCTCACCACGGCAGGTTCCTATCTTGCAAAGCACCTCAAAATGTCACACAGTGCAGGACATGTTCCTCGTTTTCGATGCCTATGAATTTAGTGATTGGACCCAGAGGAATGCTGCAGGTCTGCCTAAATTGGGAAGGCACAAAGGCAACCGAATTGCAGTTTTCAGAAGTACCTCTGGGCACTTCCCATTGGATTTGCACTCTGTTGCATGGAGTCTGTGAAAATGATGCCCGGAGAAAATGAGAGCAGTGGTTAGAAGTTGTCAGAAGTTGAGCAGGATTTCTGTTGCAAATGTGGTAGCTGCAGTTTGCAAGATGAGAACTGTTGGCTTTATAGTTTTATCTCTATTTCAAAGCTATCACCTGGGGTAACTAAAGAAAGATACGCATTGTCTGTCTGTCTAGCTTTCTCCCTGCCCCTCCCAAAAGTAATAGGGTTACTTAGGTTGACTCCTGCCTGCTCAGAAGTCATGATGAGATTATTAGACTAAAGAAAACTATTTAATTAAACTTACAGAGATAGCCCAAAACCTCAAACACCTCAGTGGTTAATATAAAAGTAATTATGTAGTAACTGTATAGTCTGATGAGTAGCAGCAGCAGCCATGCAGTCAGAATACATGCAGAGAAATTAGTCAACAGCTGTAACTATTCACACTGCAAAGGAGATATAATACTTTTTTTTTTCTTTTTTCATTTACTTCACAAAGAAATTGGTGTCTGACTGATTCCCTATTCAGTTACTGGGTCAGAACTTCAGCTCTGTAGATCAGTGTGGCATCAAGGGATCATGACAAGTTACGTCAATGAAACATCTGGTTTTGTGCCTGTATATTCATTTTACTGAACAAACATTAATGTGTCAAAAGCATGTTACAGACATTATCGAATTAATTGTTTCATTAAGAGGTCTGGGAATAGCTAGTTTAAAAATTAATTGACTATAATGTTTCCAGCTGGGATTTTCAAAAGAGCGTAGGGGATTTCAATCTGCAAATCACACTGAGATTCAGGGACAGACTTTGATTTCTGAATTCCTGAGGGTCCTTCAGAAATCCCAACCTCAGGAGTTCATAGAGGGAAAAGTAGTCAGCAATGGAAGAGGCCGATAAGGAGTATACGTTGATAGGAAAGCCATACTGTTAAGTTTATCAGGAAGGTGTGAGTGTAGCCAAGAGGTTTAGTTTCCCTGGGCAGCTGCCAGTCCAAACTGACTTTGCCTCTCATCTTTTAGCATGTTGCCTTGTGCTTCTAAGAACTTCTTCCTGCCAAGCGTGCAAGCGCAGGAGCCATAGGGAGTTTCCACTGGAACCAGAACCTGAGGAGGATAAGCACAAACACAGAGGTCATTTCTGAGACAGGGATGTGCCACTGCCGTCACAGCAGAAACTGCAGCTATTCACCTCCTCTCAAAATCATGCCCAGGCCCTTCCCTTCCCGTATGAATATCAATGGTAGATTTTGCTGTTAGCTGAAGTGAAAGCGGATCTATAATATCCACCTGAAAGAGGGCAAAGGTAGGATAGGATGGCAGCAGAACCACAAGACTTAGGGAGGGACACTAGAGCATAAACAGACTATAAACCATTGATGCAAAACGGAATAACCCAGTTTCTCTCTGTCACGTGAGGATAACAGACTTTCAGCTGGACCTGGCTGTCAGCTAGAGCAGCTGTGGAGGGAGGAGCAAATATATCCCATCCCCTACATCTCTCACCCTCTGCCTGATCCCAGGCTTATACCTTGTCCACTGTTGGACTAATCTGCTTTGGCTCCTAATGGCTACAGAAACATCCCTTCACTGGTCCCTTAGAGTGCTGGTCTTCTGTCACCTAGAGTTAGCCTATGGCCTAGCTAACCTGCTTGTAACCCTACTGCACCAAGGGTGCTCCCTGGCCTCAGTGGTGCTGCCAATGGAGCAGAAAGAAGAGCCATAGTGAGCTAGCTTTTCATACTACCTGGCTATGTGAAAGGATGCCATGACACATTCTGCTTGGTTGAAACTGCACAGGTTGACATTATTGCTAAAAGCCAAATTCAGTGGAGAAAGCGAATGATTTTTCAGAGGTACTCTCTGTTACAGATCCCTTTGATCTCCAAAGCATTCCACTGTGCTGCTTTAGCTTTTATCAACAACACAAGAAGGCAATTATCCTTCTTCTGTAATCAGTGTAAATCTCTTTTAGAGCTAAGGTGGAGCTTTCACTGAGGCAGGAGGAGAAAGTTTGCTCCCTTTAACTCTGTTCTGTGCAGAACTGCTGCTATGCTTTAAGGCAGAGTATTTCTAAAGAGTCCAGGCAAGCTGTGTTTGGAGCATTTACTTACTTCTTTGTCATTGGTCAAGCCTAGATTCTTCATGTCTACAACATTATAAAAAGTGTTGTTCAAGATGACTTCTATGACCTGTACCTGAAACCGTGAAAACAGATGAGACAATGAATTGGAGCACCTTCTCAGCCAACAGCCTGGCAATCTTTTCATTCACTGTAAAGAAAAGCAATACAACTCCCCCCACCCCCCTATATATGCAGTTGATAAAATGCAATCTATTGAACATGTAGACAATGTTGTAGCACCCATTTCACTGTTACTCACGTCCTGCCAAGCACTGAGTGATATTCTCCCCCATTATGTTCACAGCCGGGGAGCAGCATATGAACTTCTCAGTGTGTTCATTTTTTTTTCAGACCATCTAGCTGTACCACCAAACAGTTTCCAGTCTTACTTAGAACTGTCAGAGGAAATAATAGGCTCATTTTGGTCTTCTTAGTTGTCCGATTAACATTCATTATTGTTTAAGTAAAACATCAACAGGAGGAAAGCAGATACCTGTGACACTTTGGAAAGGACAAGCATCTGGATACCGTTGACAGTCTTCTGGTAAGAGGGTGAATATTCCCCACAGTCAGGTGGCCCAGAAAAGGCTTCAAGGATACATTCACGGATTTTGTTCCTAGAGGTAACACAAGTTCTTACAAAACTTGTATCAGCTGTCTCTGTCTAGATCCATAATGTTTTACTGGTTTTTTTCATTTTCTCTGTCTTTTCTGACTAATACATAGCACATGGGATTTCATGGAAGAGCAATTTCTTTGTCTTGTCACCTCCAAATTCCCCCCCCCCCAGCTCTATAATTCACAAATAGGTGTTTTGCTAAAAGTATTTAACAAATTGTTGTTAGTTTGTTCTCCTAAAGTGTTCTGTACTGAACACTGAACTGTCCATTTAAATACTGTCCACTGATGCCATCAGAGAGAAGATTACCCCCCAAGGTGTGCCTCTTCCCCCCTGGTACCAAGGGCTTAGCAATGCCACTGAGCTCTCTGAGAGTGGCTAGTGCGCAGCAACTGTAGATCTGGCCCTTACACCTGCTGTATTGTATAGAGGGACTTTGGGATCATAGATTAGGTAATAAATATTATTTGATTTGATGTATACCATATGCAATCAAAGTCAAAGTCTCTGCATTCGCCGTATGACCATTTGCAGAAGAGCTCTCCACATAAAATCCTGTCATTCCTTTCAGGAAGTGTGGTGTGTTCATTCTTATAGAAGCCTTCAAATCCAGACTGTGTTGTCTTCATAAGTTTCAGATCTTTAATTCCAGCAAAAACAACCAGAGGACCTGTGATCCAAAAATACAAGACAGTATCAGCTCCTTTTCAGGCAGAGAGAAAGAAACCTCTGGAGCACACTTGCAGTGACAGCTCCAGAGCCATGAGCAGACTCTCCAGGACTCACTTGTGTGCTTCTGCTGCAAGCCTAGCTACTTTTAAAAATTATTTTCTGCACACTGATGTTAGCAGAAAGGTAAGAAACAAGACAGAAACTACTGAAGTCAGAGCTCAATCTAGAAAGCAGAGAATCGCATCAAGTGACCTGCAGTCAAGGAGAGGTAAGGACACCCTTTATCTCACCTCCTTGGAGCTGGGACATGCATCGGGTTGGCTCTCACTGATGTCAGTTCAGGGACTACTAATTGCTCTAAAGGGAAATGAAACAGGCTACTAGGGCTGCGGAGTACAGGAGGGGTGAGGTGAGCCTTTTCTAACAACGTAGAGGAGTGTAGAAACTCTCTGTACAGACTTGGAGCCTCAGTCAGAAATTTGCTTTCCATACCCAGCCTGTTGTGAGTTTTGCATCCATAAGAACGAGAGGGCGAGGAGCTAATGCAAATCCTTGCAGTTCAGCTAATTAGCAGGAACTGGCACTGATACAGATGCTACCCACAGGTTCAAACTGACAATGTTCTTGCTCTTAGCCACTACTTATAAAAAGTGCTATTGTAGATGACTGCTGCATGGGTGGATTGTCATCTTCTAAAGACCAAACAGTTGTGTCCTGAACTTTTTCTTCTGACAAACCTTTTGGATGGCGGCTAAACAATTTGAAGTGGTCAGTCATTTAGAGCACACCAAACAGATAACTGAAAATTTCACTGACCAGAGCTGCCGGAAAAGCAGATTCAGAAAAGAGAAACTTCATGGCACGCAGGCTTATCCAGAGCCTGTACAGATAGTCAGTGGCTGAAGCCCATGCTGCTGTTTCTGTGCTGCTCTTGGTGCTCACACTAGCTAGTTCAAAATTAATCCTTGAATACGTCTGGTGCATAGTAATCCTGCCTTTGACTGGGAAGACTGACAGACTGTCTTTAAACCGTGTCTTTGCAAGAATTTACACTGGAAATAATTCCACTGTGATAGATGTTTTTAAATGACATGATTGTTTAGAGGTTTGGGTTTTTTAAACTGCTCTGTCACTGGAAATTATCAAAACTGCATTTTATCTATTTCTTCTCTTGTTTACATTCACTGTTGTTTTTGAAAGAGTCCAAAGATGTGTATCTATAATTTTGGCTACACCCCCCTGTTATTTACTGAAGCTTTAAAAAAAAATCTGAAGAAGAGACTGTCCTTGGACAGGATATTCTGGGGTTTGTTCAGATCTTGATGAATTAATTGCTTGGGTATAAGATTGTAATACACAGGTATTAATGTAATGCAGATACTATCAGTGAACCTGGAGATATATTTATCTCATATTCAAATACATAGCCTTATTTGAGAGGGCTCCTTGCAATGAATGATTTACTGAAAGGCTGGCTGTGTAGCAATCGACCTGAAACTCGCACTGAAGAATATAACGCCTGGGCAAAGTTGTGGAGGTGAACAGCCCGTGCTGTGCTTTCAGTATGTTTTGTGCTTGTGCTGTCTTGAGTTGTCAGATGTTGACTCAGTTAAGTTACTTATGATGTTTTCAGTTTCCAAAAAACTCTGAGCCTTTTATCAGCCGATATAATGGCAAAGAATAAGCCTATAATTCTACTAAGCCTCACTAGGTTTCTTTTAATGATGAGAAAAGAGTTAAAAGATAGGATTAACTGAGAAATAAATTTCTGTGTCTGGCTGATAGGTGCATAGGAGGATGCTAAAGATAGAGAAGGTTCTCTTATAAGAAAAATAAAAGGGATTTGAAAATCTTCTCTTTGTTATTGTTCACCTGGGCAGGGAATCCTAAAGAAACATCTAAAGGGCTACATGAAGGGAAGACTAAGAAGGAAAGGCAGTTTCTTCAGTAAGCCTTAAAGGCTTTTTGTTTCTGTAGAACCTGAAATTGCAAAATTTCATGCTGAATTTTCAAGGTGATGAAAAATTTAATTCAATCTGTACGTTAAGAGCAGCGGCTTTTCAAGAAAGCATAAACTCTTTTTCTTTAAATTTTTTTATTCAGGTTTCTTTCGTAACATTTTCCAGAAACCTCAATACTATTGAGGCTGCCAAAAATACAGCAGTAGTTAACATCACTAGGAACATTAGAAAAGATTAGGCCCAGAGACACTGGAGACTTGTACAGGCTCTCTCTTTGCTTTCAGCAGG